TGGCTGAAGCTGGGATGTGTAGAACCAGCCGTGGGGAAGGGAGATCAAGTCCTGGGGAGCCGAAACGTCGCCAGAAAACTACAAAATCTGGCCTGGAAGGCGAAAGGTCGCGGGTGTGGAGACGAAACGTGCAGTGTTTCGTGATTTACGGTGGGTTTGCTGGTGGTTTTGGTGGCTGATGATAGGGCTGAAACAGTGAAAGGATCATCACGGAGGCCGCCAGAAAAGAGCTGGGAGTTGCCGGAAAAGATGGATGAATAGCCTATATGCGACCTTCATCTTCATTTTATAGACAACCTGCAAAATATCACTTTGGTCCCTACATGATTGAAAATAACAGATAAACCTTGCAATATGACAGTTTACCCCCTAAACAGCATAAATGAGACAAAATCACCCCTAATTCATAAACCACAACCTAATTCAACTCATATCCTTCCAAAATCATTCCAACATGTTAAATTCATAAGAAAAATATTAGGAAGCGATTTAGTGAATAAATTCAATTCTTTAATGTTCAATATACTCAATTTAATCACACTTGGGGTATTTTCACCAAAATAGAGTGACTTTCATGCTCTAACAGATATCAAAGATTGTTATGTATTTTTAAATGAGTTTAGTGAGAGGTAAAAATTATGGGTTTGAAGTGTATAGTTAATGTATATCAAATTCTGTGCTAGAAACTTATCTCCCTAATATTGTTTAAATACAAGTCTTGAAATTATTATTGTCACAAGTGAACCAAAATCTCAGGGCTGGAATGAATTTACACTACGGTAATGGATGGAAGTTCGGGCAAGGTAGGTAGTTTTTGTAATTTTACACATAGTGTTATTTTGTTTGGTGATTGCTGAAAATATAAGGGTGTGTTTTGATAATTGTCCTAATATTAATTAAGTGCAATTTAAATGATTATAACAAAGGATGGTTGTTTAACGTAGACATCAAATTACAAGATGAAGATAAAGAAGAACACAGTATAAGAGACACCAGACATTCAAATACTGAACGTTTATTGGCAACAGAGTTAACAAACATCAAAATCTTTGAAAAACTCTAGACCACGCAGTTGACTTGGAAAATTTGGATGGTGAAGACCTGCACAAACCCAAAGTTGGGGGGTTTATAAATCATGTGTTGAGTGATGGGAAAACCTAATAAATTATCTTCTCTTAACTCTTAGATACACATGCTTCATATTAAAAGTGCATTTAAATGATTTGACTGACTTAACACGGGTATCATTGGCTTGTATGTTGGAGCAAGTATAAGAAGGTGGAAAGGATTTCACTTCATGCGAAAAGCATCTTTTAAGTGTCACTTATGTTATAGAAGAAAAGTTTTCCCAGCTGGAAGGAAAGGAACAGGCTTTACTTTTCAAAGTTTAGTGTGAACACTAGAATTCAAGTTCAGAGCCTTAAAGTTACAATGAGAGCGTAAACTAGTTTACAAACTTAGACTTCTCTTCTAAGTATGCACATTGGGGTAATAGACACTTTTATGAAACCTAAAGTGAATTGTGAATGCAAAACGCTTACTTGAAAGCCAAAACCCTTAGAGAAAATTCAAACAGATGATTTGAATGAAAATAATTTCATCATCCACTAGATGTAGTGTCACCACTAGCCCATTTGCTGTAACAGATGTAGGTGACAACCTATTCTCAGCAAGGAAGCCTACACAATGTGGGATGAAGCTGCTGGCGGCATACTTTCAATCATCGCATTGTTTAGATTCTTTGGCTTGCACTCTCCCCTTTCAATTCTCCAACCTTGTTCTGTTGCAAACATAGAAATGCCAGCTCAACAATGAAGTTTCATTCTTTGAACTTTAATTTGACATAAAATCTAATCTCATTTTTAGTCTTACTCACTAAAATTTATTATTGATACATAAAATTTACCAGAACAAAATAAATTTGAGGAATGCAAGTTTTAATATAACTTTCGATATGATATTTTAAATTTATGTTATGTTTTTTTTTTTTTTTTTTTTTTTAAAAAAAAAAAATATTCTATATTTGTGCTGTATTGAATCAAAATAAAGAGAAATATGTAAAAATTAGGTAAGAGGGGTTGGGAATATTCTTTATGCTTTTTTTTTTCCTTTTTTTTTGGTTAACTTATGAATGTTTCTATAATATAATTTGAATCTATTTAATATACCAAATAAATGTAACATATATTTACATAAAATATTTAATGAGAGTTTAAAAAGACGGGTTTAACGTGAAGTTATATTTTAATTTGTATATCAAATTCATGTTAGATAACTTATCTCCCTAATAATGTAAAATACAAGTTTTTGAAATTATTATCCTTCATCAAGTGAACCAAACAGCCCTAACATAAAAGGTTAAATGTTTATAGCGTTACTACATTATAGTAGATTTAAAACAGATAACAATTATATTTATAAATTTTTTATTAGAATTTGATTTGTATGATAAACAATCTAAAATTGATCTAAAAATCTTTATTAAAAATAAATAAATTTCAATATCTTACACTATTACAGTATCAATCATTATGAAAGTAAAAAGCCAAATAAACTCTTTATAAAATAGTGTTATTTAAGCGCCACTAAAAATCTTTATAAACCCATCTATCAATTTTTTTTATAATTAAATTAAAAGTATGTTACATTTGAAATTATTAAATATCCCTAAATCTAGATTAAATACAATATATTCAATAACAATTTTTAACAGATGATTTAATTCAAGATGAGAATTCAGCAAAGTATTTAATTTATAATTGGCATTGATAGATGATGATTTGTATAAAAAAAAATTCTCATTTCTGCCTTTTTCTTCAGTCCAACATCACTCCGGCAATTAGTAATTTAGGGTTGAGAGTACTTGATTAATACTGTGATTTAGTCTTTTTTAATATCCAAAATAGAAGGCATTATTTTTAAGAAGAATGATACAAGAATTAAGTAGAAGGGTATTTTTGTAATAAATATAAAAATTTGGAAGTAATTCTTAATTGATTTTATTTAATAATGGGGTTTAAACAACGCCACTGTTTTGACCCACATATTTCCTCTTTAGCCCCATCTTTAATTTTGGGTGAAGAATAATTGTAATAAAATATTTATTCTTCTTCCCAATTTTATTCACTTCAAAGCTTATATTTACTGCCCTCCAAATTAAAAGTAAATAATAAAATATGATTAACAATAAAACACAATTTCTTCAATGGAATTGTGTACCGGATGTTTGTTTATATGGGTATAAAATCATGTTTTCTTTCTATCAAGGTGGGATTTTAAAGTGATTATTGATTAAGAGTTTTTAAATTGTGTTCTAAAAAATTAATCCCTATTGTATGAAACGAATTTATGATACCAAGTGTTCTGTTTATGATATGAAACTTGGTTTTTCTTAGTCAATGTAGGTTGAGATTAATTACTGATTGTAAGAACGTTGAGGTTGTGATTTAGTAAACCAATTAATCCGTTTGTCTCCATTTATATATATATATATATATAATATAATATCTATATATATATATAATATAATATTAATTTATATATTATATATTATATATATATATATTATTATATATGGTAATACTTCTCCTATAATTGAACACAAACCCCTGGATATATTTAGTTCAGTAGCTAAAGAGTTGTTATCCAGTTACAAGAAGAGAGGTTGGTCCATTATATTAGGTCTATATCAATAGGGTTGCCTCATCACGTGATAAATAGAAATTAATCTGGAGATAAACAGAGAGAAAATTATTAAAATTAAAACAATCATTTTTAATTTAAAGTAAATCAGATTAGAATCATCATTTTTTAATGCAATAAATTATTTATAAAAAAAAAACTTGTTAAATGCTTATTACTTATTTTTAATGCAATCCCTGTAGTTTCATTTTTTTCAACTTAGATCACGCTGTTGACTTGGAAAAATTTGGATGATGAGACCTGCACAAACCGAAAGTTGAGAGCAAGTGATAAAGAGGTGGAAAGGATTTCATTTCATGCCAAAAGCATCTTTTTAAGGGTCACTTTATGTTATAAAAGAAAAGTTTTCCCCAACTTAAGGAAAGTGATAGAATTTAATGTGGTCTGAGTCACCCAATAAAGTCTTGTGAATAAAAAGATTACCCTCCCATATAAACTATGAGCTTGAATGTGCTTAGTCCAGTGTGAGACTCCAAACATACTTTAGATTTTCAAATTTAGTGTTCAATTTTGAAAAATACCAACAATGTGAAAACTAGAATTCAAGTTTAGAGCTAAAGTTAACATTGAGAGACTAAACTAGTTAAAACACTTTGAGACTTACCTTCTAAATATGCACAATTGGGTGAAGACAACTTGTACGAAACTAAAAAAAAATTTGTGAATGTAAAACACTAACGTAAAACCCGAAATAGCTAACCTAAAAGTTACATCAAATGATAATTGAAACATATTTTCATATTCAAATTGTGGATTAGAGTTCTTGGCAAAAAACCTTAATAACTACACTAGATGTAGGAGACAGCCTGATATTCTTAAGCAAGGAAGACTCTCCCAATTGTTGATGAAGCTGTTGGTTGATCCCTCCTCAACACTTCATATTATTGTTTAGATTCTTGGCTTGCACTCTCCATTTTCAGTTCTCGTCAGTTCCTGCAATACCAAGTTCCATGGAAGGTCTTATTCCTTCCTGTTACAAACATAGAAAGGCTGCTCAGCAATTTAAGGGTTATTCTGATTTTTATTCTTCATCTGATTAAAATAGATAATCTATTACTGTATTATGGCTGCTTAGGTACCCTTATTATAGTGGCCTATGTGTTTTAATAATTATCAAAGAACTAAAGTAAAGTTAACATGCGAACTTCCCTAAATTGACAGATTGTTGAGAGTATTTGTTAAATTCCCTAAGGCAATTACTCTTCGGCTTTCAATAGGTTAGACCTTGTTCAGAGTAGAAATTTAATTTACGCTTAAATATAACTGTATCCATAGAATTTCATTGAAGAGTACAAACATAAACATATTACTGTGGGATTTCTTACCAGTTAACACATCATGACCTATTTAGCTAAGTAGTATAGATGAAGAATCTCTTGGGGCTGATCTCGGAGAAGATAGGAAAGGCTTGGGTGGGAATTGCAAAGAACTTATGCTCCCTTTCAACATATCTACTACTCTGCTGATTGTTGGCCTATCTGAAGGATTAGTCTGTATACACCACAAGCTCACCATGATCATCTTCCTGGCACACTCTTGATCCTCTTCACTTTCAATGTCTTTCAGTCCAAGTTCTTCATCTAGTTCTAGACGACTGTAAATCCAGTGTGGAAAATATATTTCACTGGTACGATCAACACCAATGTCAACATTTTTTCTTCCTCCAACCATTTCTAAAATCATCATTCCATAGCTATAAACATCCGACTTGTGAGAGACTTCTCCAAAGTTTCTACTAACTACTTCTGGAGCAATATAACCAATAGTTCCTCGTGCACCTATTAATGATATGATACTCTCTTTCTTCAAGCAAATTTTAGCAAGACCAAAATCAGAGATCTTTGGACAAAATTCTTCATCTAGGAGAATATTATGGGGTTTTATGTCAAAGTGCAAAATTCTTGTGCTACAACCACGATGTAAGTACTCTAACCCTCGAGCTATGCCCACTGCAATTTGGTACAAGGTTTCCCATGTCAGCTTTTGATTCGTTTCCATGCTTTTTTCATATATGAACTTCTCAAGAGAACCATTAGACATAAACTCATAAACAAGAGCTCTTTTACTGCCCTCAAAACAGAAGCCTAATAGAGCAACTATGTTTACATGAGAAGTCCTACTAATACTAGCCACCTCATTGATAAATTCTTCACCATTACCTTTGCCTTCTTTTAAGACCTTCACTGCAACATTACGCCCATCGAGTAGTTTACCTTTGTAAACACCTCCGTACCCTCCTTCGCCTAGTTTGTCTCTAAATGAGTTAGTCATTTTCTTGATTCCTGAATAGTTGTATCTTTTAGGAGCTAGGGACCCATTGTTCCTAAAAAACGTCTCAATTTTTTGATAATTGCTAGCTTTCTTCTTCCAGAAGATCATGTAGTTATCTGATGATCTTTTCATTAAGCAAAAGGCTAGAATTATGAATATGCCAATTCCAATGGCGGCTGGTAGGCCTGTAATAAAAGAGTCTTATAAGAATGGTTTCAAGGATAATTATTGCCACCAAACATACGCAGACTTGAGCAACTTTAAAAAGATAATCTGGCTCAAATATTAGCTTATTGTATGATATGAGCACTAAACAGTTATAAATGAAGATTGTCTTATGTTAATTTACCTCTTCCTATAATGAAAATTCTCATAATTTATAATATTAAATTGTTAAATTAAGCTAAAAGAAGCATAACACTCTAGTAATTTCATCGTGCCAATCGCTACTCCTCAATGAAATTTTCGTGCATATGGTTGTTGTTTATCCTCTAAAAAAGGTCGTTGAACACTTGTAAAGACATCAGAAAGTTTGTAAATCATAAATTTCCAGTGATGGGAAAACATTTGGACCGGTCTGCCTGTGACTGAAAAAATAAGAAAAAACATAATATTTATCTTATTTTATTTAACATAGCTTAACTTAGACATCAAGTTGCCGCCATTTAACTCACTAACTTCTGATCAATTATGAATTCACTGAAGCTCTACTTTTTGATTGGAGTAAGTGATAAGAAGGTGCAAATGATTTAATTTAATGCCAGAAAGCATCTTTTTTTACTGCCATTTATGATGTTCATATTATGTTGATTATTGAAGCTGTTCAAAATAAAATAAAAATTCCAGGAAAGGAACAGATTTTGACTTTTCAAAGTTTAGGTTTCACTATTGAAAAATATCTATGGTTGAACAGAAGCATGAGACAGAGCTAGAATTATGCATATTAAAAACAATGATTAAAGAGATACATTACCTATTGCCAGACCCACATTCAAAAAAGATTGCCCATCTGCAAAAATAGTTACAAAGTGTTAGTTTAAAAGGAAGAAGAATTAATAGTTATCTGCATAATCAAAATATGTCCATAAAACTAATGCTGTGACGAACTAAGTAGCTAATTGACTTCCTCCAAAGTACAAACCTGGGTGAGGGACCAATCAAAACTAAGGAGAATAATTATTTTTATGGCATGCTGGTAAAATTAAATTTAAAAAAGAATTCGAACAGGGAACCTAACATATATTGCATTTCAAGTAACTTGCTATAATTTGTGATACCTTTTGCATTTGCACAATAAAAATTTCCGATGCTATCGATTTTACATTGCCCTTTTCTTCCATGACAATCATGGCAATCTCTTTTTAATTTCACTTGAAGACGGAACCAACCAGTATATAAATTCGAGAAGTTAAGACCATTTGGAGTCCTGTTCGTTTGGAACAGAATAAGTGAGCATTGTTGCGGAGGAACTCGTAATCCACCAGGTTTTGAGCCTTTGTAGTAGATAATTGAGTGGCTGGAGTCATTGCAGAGTGAATCATAATTTTCTGGGACAGAATAAGACGTACCGGGACATTTGAACAGGGTTTGATTTTCGGGTATTACTTCAAAAGAGAAAAAAGGAGAGCTAGGAATGGTTAGATTTTGAAAGTATTGAACACAACGACGATTGTTCAAAGGAGGCTTCTCGAATCCTTCATCATGTCTAAGCGTAAGCGTATTATCCTTAGAGATGCTCAGAACATGAAATTCTGGTCCATCCTTCCCCAGTCGAATCCTCGGAACTTGTTCTCTGCAGCCTGCTACCGTTAAGAATCCACACTCAGGATACGTTTCATTGGAGAAGGGGAAGCCTATAACGTTGAGAATTCCACAATTGAAAGGTTTACATTTTGGGCTGGAGCCCATTTCTTCTTGAGCCAAAGAAAGAATTAAAAGATGAGAGATAAAGAAGAACACAATATAAGACACACCAGACATTCTAAAAACTAATCAGTCACTGACGACAGATTTTACGAACACAAGAACTCTTTGAAAACACTTGATATCTTTTATTTTATTTGTGATGCTGCATTTTCCCTGTACTTTCAATTGTTTTATCCTCTAAAACAAGCAGTTGACTTGAAAAGTAGACGGCGAAGACTTGTAGGCATAAGAAAGTTTGGGACAGTTTCCAAACCATAAAGGGGTCCAGTGATGGGGAAAACTTTTATGGACTGGTCTTCCAATGACTGGGAAAATCTGAAAAAAATCTTCTCTTCTCTTATTCAATTGAGTAATACTAGCCTTCTTATTCAATTGAGTAATACTAGCCTTACAAAGAGGCATACAAAGAGTCAAATCCAGCCCTTAAAAGAAACGAAAAAGAGAAAGAGAAAGAGACAATTATGAATTTCAAAAACTGAATTTGATTCTTTGTATGACTCTTTATATACCTTTTTGTAAGACTAGTATTACTTTATTTTATTTATCTACAACTCTTATGTTACATGTTTAATATAAATCATAGTTTATAATATTATAACAAAGTTTAAAAAAAATAATTTTACTTTAGAATCAAGCTGCTGCCATTTCGACTAACCTCTCCTCTGGTCAATTATCAACTGACTGAAAATCTGCTTTTTGATTGACTTACATCTTTCGAGTAAGTGATAAGAAGGTGAAAAAAATTCAATTTTATGCCGGGAGGCATATTTATGATGTTCATATCATGTTGAATTAGTGAAGATGTTCAAAATAAAAATAAAAATAAAAATTCCACCATGTGGAAGGAAAGGAATAGAATTTGACTTTTCGAGTGTGTTTGGTTCAGAGAATATTATATTACTAGAAATATTATATTAATGGAAAAATAGATTACCTTGAAGATTACCGAAAGTGTTTAGGAAAATGTGTTTGGTTGGTTGTTATAAATTAGTGGGTACGTTATATTAATATGTTTGGTTGGAAGGAATAAATTGGTGGGTATGTTATATAATTTACTAAATTGCTCTCATTTAAAAATATAATATTATTTTTATTATTATTTTTTGAATTATCTTTTTTAACCATTTACATTTCAGATTTAGCTAAAACATCATAGCAACAAAAAAGTTTAAAACTTAATAAAAACACCCCCACCCATCCCAAGCCATTGCCGACAGCGACGAAAGTGGAGATCCGACCGTGAAAGGTTAGATATTTGGCTGTGAAACGATAGTCGTTTCATGACTAGAACGACTAGATTTGCTGTGAAAGGCCAGATCTAGCTATTTCTAGTCAGAAACAGAATCATCGGTGCATGGCCAACCAGATATGGTCGGTTGTGCGCCACTCCATCACCGCTGGTGGTGGTTTCCAGTGACTGGTGGTGGTGGCCAGATTAGCCACCACCCTTGGGTAAATTTTTTTAATTTTAAGAGCATTTATATCCTAAAAACTTTGTATATAAGGATAAAATAGTCAATTTGTATTTTTGTAAATTGTTTTTAAAACAAGGGTAGTATTGTCCCAACATTTTATTTATAAGGGGTAAAATTATAATAAAAATAAGATTATCAAGTAATCTTAAAATATCTAAGAAAATGAAAATAATCAGATTATCTTCTATATTACTAATATGAACTACTATTGGTATTGGAAGATTACTGGAATCTTATATTATTGACAACCAAACGTGATAATAAAGTAATATAAGATGACATTACTTCAGTAATCCCATATAACCCCTAACTAAACACACCCTTCAAAGTTTATGTTCCACAATTGAAAAATATCTACAATATATGAACAATAGAGTACAAGCACTCAGCCTTAAAAAAAAAAAAAAAAAGTACAAGAAACAACTCTTCTTATTTCATCATACTCTTAGAGCCTGAACTAGCTCATAGATCTTGAGCTTTCTGCCTTTTAGGTGCAGGATGTTCGCATGAAATTTAACAACTGAGACTAGAAGCAATGTCGCTGCTAACCCATTTTGATGTCACAGATGTTGGTGACAGACTGATATTCTTCAACAAAGAAGCCTCTTGACAATCTGGTGATGAAACTGTTCGCCGCATATTCTGAACTACATTATCATTGTTTAGATTCTCTGGCTTGCACTCTCCACTTTCAATTCTCTTTAATTGCTCCAAAACTTCATCCATGGAAGGTCTCATTTCCTTGTTTTGCTGCAAACATAGGAAGGCCAGCTCTGCGACTGAAGTTGTCATTCTTTTAACTTCTTCATCTGATTGATATCCAAGACATGAGTCAATCAACTCTTCAATTGCACAATTCTGAATCCTGTTTACCGCTAAGTAAGCTAAATTAATCTCTTGTTTCTGCCTATTCATATCAACAGGAGGCATTGATGAAATGAGCTCAATTAGGACAACTCTAGAGCTATAAACATCACTCTTATCAGTTAGCTAATAACATAGATGATACTTAGGGTCACCATAGCCAGGAGATCCTTGTGGCGCGGTCGAAACATGTGGGAAACAATCTGGAAAGCCCCAAATCTGCAACTTTTGCGTTGAAACTATTGTCAAAAAGGATGTTGCTAGTTTTCACATCGCGGTGTATAATATCAGAAGCATGGAGGTAAGCCAATGCACTAGCTGTTTCTATTGAAATGTTCATACGAACAGGCCATGGAAGGGAAACAGCCTTTGCTCTCCCGCCGCAAAGATGATCAGCAACAGTTCCATCAGGAATGAATTCATACACCCCTGGAAGACCCTGCAGACTGTGACACGAAGTGCAGCCCTAAAGGGACACAAGATTTTTGTGGCACAATCAAGTGAGGATCTCAATTTCGTTCATAAACTGTTCAAACTTTCTGTAGTTGTGCTCATGAAAACGTTTCACTGCAAGTTCTCTCCCGTCTTTAAGTTTTGCTTATTGCAAGGGTTCAAAGAGGCCATTTAGCAAATAAGTATTATTCATTAAGGTTGAACAGAAGCATATGAGACAGAGCTGGTTATGCATATTTATAACATTGATTAAAGAGTAAATTACCATTTCCTAGACCCAGTTCCAAAACTTGCCCATCTGCAAAAGTAGTTACAAAGTGTTAGTTTAAAAGAGAGAAGAAGAGTTATCCGCATCATCCAAAGTTCAAAACACATGAGGGACCAATCAAAACTAAGGAGAATAATTATTTTTCTGGCATGCTATTAAATTAATTAAAGATCGACAGGGAACCAAACATATATGCATTTATAATAACTTCATAATTTGTGATACCTGTTGCATTTGCCAATAAAAATTTCGTGCTATCGATTTTACATTGCCCTTTTCTTCCATGGCAATCATGCATCTCTTTTTAATTCACTTGAAGACGGAACCAACCCGTATATAAATTCGAGAAGTTAAGACCATTTGGAGTTGTTCGTTTGGAACAGAATAAGTGAGCATTGTTGCGGAGGAATCGTAATCCACCAGGTTTGAGCCTTTGTAGTAGATAATGGTGGCTGGAGTCATTGCAGGTGAACATAATTTCGGGACAGAATAAGACGTACGGGACATTTGAACAGGTTTGATTTTCGGTATTACTTCAAAAGAGAAAAAAGGAGAGCTAGAATGGTTAGTTTTGAAAGTATTGAACACCAACGACGATTGTTCAAAGGAGGCTTCTCGAATCTTCATCATGTCTAAGCGTAAGCGTATTATCCTAGAGATGCTCAGAACATGAAATTCTGGTCCATCCTTCCCCAGTCGAATCCTCGGAACTTGTTCTCTGCAGCCTGCTACCGTTAAGAATCCACACTCAGGATACGTTTCATTGGAGAAGGGGAAGCCTATAACGTTGAGAATTCCACAATTGAAAGGTTTACATTTTGGGCTCGAGCACTTTCTTCTTGAGCCAGGAAGAATTAAAAGATGAGAGATAAAGAAGAACACAAGATAAGACACACCAGACATTCTCAAAACTAATCACTAACTGGCGACAGATTACAAACACAAGAAACTCTTTGAAAATACTTGATCTTTATTTTATTTGTGATGGCTGATATTCCTGTAAACACAAGAATCCAAACACGCAGTGACTTGAAAAGTGGACGGCGAAGAATTGTAGACATGAGAAAGTTTGGGGACAGTTTCTAAACCAAAAGGGGTCAGTGATGGGGAAAAAATTATGGACTGGTCTTCCAATGACTGGAAAAAATCAGAAAAAGATCTCTCTTCTCTTATTTTATTTATCTAAAACTTTATGACATGTTTAATATAAATCATAGAAACAAGTTAAAAAATAAATAATTTACTTTAGAATCAGTGTGCCATTTCGACTAACCTCTGCTCGGTAATTATCAACTGACAGAAAATCTGCTTTGATTGACTCATCTTTGGAGTAAGTGATAGAAAGTGAAAAATCAATTAATGCCAGAAAGAAAGCGTATTTATGATGTTCATATCATGTTGAATTAGGAAGATGTTCAAAATAAAATAAAAATTCCACCATGTGGAAGGAAAGGAATGAATTTGACTTTCGGGTATCTGAAATGTTGTTTACGAAAAGATAATCCCTCGAAGTTATTCAAAGTGTTTAGGAAAATATGTTTGAGTTGTAATAATTAGTAGGTATGTATATTAATATGTTTGTTGGGAGTAATAAATTGGTGGGTATGTATATAATTTACTACTTGCTCTCCATTTAAATATTAATTATATTATTTTTTGAATAATTTTTAACCCTTATACATTCACATTATTAAAACACCTAGTAACAAAAAAAGTTTAAAACTTAACAAAAATACCCTCACCAACCCCAAGCTATGCCTACGCAGCGAAAGTAGAGATCTGACCATGAAAGGTAGATATTTGGATGCGGAATGATGGTGTTTCACGACTAGAAAGGCTAGATTTGCCGTGAAAGGCCAGATCTAGCTATTTTTTGTCAGTGAAAACAGCATCATCGGTGCATGGTCGACCAGATATGGTCGTCGTGGGCCATTCCATCAGTGCCAATGGTGGTTTCTGGTGGCCGGTGGTGGTTAGCACCACCCTTGGGTAAATTTTTAAGAGCAAACGACATGTTCCACCAAGGTTAGCAAATCCTAAGTTCATACCCCTGGTTATATTATTCTTATTCTCACCCTTAACAACACTGCAAGTTAATTTTAAATTTTGATTTTGCAATACACATCTTGCCTCATTCTTATTTACCCCACCCAACCACCATACCCACCATCAACATACCATACCCTCACCATCACCATCAACATCCAGCCACCCCAACACACACCAAAACCAACCCCCCCCGATCGCGTTCAACCCATTTGGCCTGATCTTCGACGCGGATTGACCAACCCAACACCCATCAGGTCCTCTCATCTCCCTCTCGAAAACCCCTCATCTCTAACTTTGTGCACACGTCGTCGACCACGCGATCCCCCACCCCATAGACCCGAAAGCACACCCTGGGCGTATTCTGAAATCAGTCAGCCGCCGTCCTTTTTGCCACTTTTCAGCTTTTTTTCACCCAAAACCACCACCATCTGCCTCATAACCTCCACATTAAAACTCCAGCTTTCCTCAATTAAAACCAACCATTCCAACCTGGAAAACACCACACACTGGGTTTTTCTATGCGCTGTGCGATTGCTCCAGCTGGATTCTGGCTGATTTGGTGGGCCTCAACCCCAAATGACACCCCTTGCACTCACAAGAGCTCCCCTTCAAAACCCCCATCCTTCTCGAACATGATTGCTCGCTGTTCATCGCCGCCACTCAACTTTGGGTTTTGTGAAATTAGTTGAAATGGAGTTTGATTGGGTCGTGGAAAGATTTTGATTTAGTTTTTTGTTTGTATTTAGTTTGACTGTTGTGTGTTGTGGTGAATTTGTTGGGAAAGAAGAAGGGCCGAATATGGTGGTGGTTTGGCTGGCTGGTGTTGGGAAAGAAGAATGGCCTACTGTGGTGGTGGTGGTTTGGCCGGCTGGTGTTGGGAAAGAAGGGCTGGCTGTGGTGGTGGTTTTAGGTGAAAAAAAGCTGGAAAAGTGGCAAAAAGGACGACGGCTGATGATTCAGAATACGCCAGGGTGTGCTTGCGGATCTGTGGGGTGGGGGATCGCGGTGGTCGACGAACGGTGCAGCAAACAGTTAGAGATGAGAGGGGTTTTCGAGAGGGAGATGAGAGGATCTTGATGGGGGTGTTGGGTTGGTCAATCGAGGTCGGAATTAGGCAAATTGGGCTTGAACGACGATCGAGTGGGTTTGGTGGGTGGTGGTGGCGGCTGATGGTAGGGGGATGGTGGTTGGGTGGGGTGAATAATAACGAAGGGCAGATGGTAATTGCACAAATCAAAAATTAAAATTAATTACAGTGTTAGTTTAAGGGTGAGATATGAATAAATAGAACTAGGGTTATGAACTTGGGATTTAGCTAAACCTTGGGTGGGAGCATATCGTTGCCTTTTTAAATTTAGAGGATTTATGTCCTTAAAACTTTGTTATAAGGGTAAAATAGTCAATTGGTATTTTGTAATGTACTTTTTAAAACAAGGGCAGTATTGTCCTAAAATTTTATTAATATAGAGTAAAATGTAATAAAATAAGATTATCAAATACCAAAATATCTAAGAAAATGAAAGTAATCAGATTATCTCTATATTACCAACATGAACTACTATTGGTATTGGAAGATTACCAGAATTTATATTATTTGACAACCAAACGTGATAATCAAGTATATAAGATGACATTACTCAATAATCCTATAGAACCCTAACTAAACACACCCTTCAAAGTTATGTTCCACTATGAAAAAATATACAATATATGAACATGTAGTACAAGTACTCAGCCTTAAAAAGTGTACAGGAAACAACTCTTCTTATTTATCATAATCTATGAGCTTGAACTAGCCATAGATCTCAGCTTTCTGCCTTTAGGTGCAGGATGTTCGCATGAAATTTAACAACTGAGACTAGAAGCAATGTCGCTGTAACCCATTTTGATGTCACAGATGTTGGTGACAACGATGTATTCTTCAACAAGGAAGCCTCTTGACAATCTGGTGATGAAACTGTTCGCCGCATATTCTGAACTACATTATCATTGTTTAGATTCTCTGGCTTGCACTCTCCCTTTCAATTCTCTTTAATTGCTCCAAAACTTCATCCATGGAAGGTCTCATTTCCTTGTTTTGCTGCAAACTGATACAACACGTGAAGTGCGAGTGTACAAGAAGCGTGGGAGGAGCACCAGGGGATCAATAATATTAAAAGAAGCAACTAAAGTGTGAATTGAGGGTAGGGGACAAGGTGGCGAAAGATTATTGGAGGAAGGGTTAATTCTGTACAGGAAAGAATGAATAAAAGGAGCAGCAGAAGGGTAAATAGGAATCAAGAAGGAATTGAGGAAAAGGGGAGGTAGCTGGCCCTCGAAGTCCAGCATATCGGTTTTTTATGTTTTAGCTTGGTTCTCTTATTTCTTGTAGTTAATTAATTCCAGTAGTCTTTTGTTTGAGAGAAGATCTAAAGT